CACTCTATTAGTTGTCTTCTTTCCCCCTGGAAGTTCGTAATTTTTTGTTTCCATTAGAAGTCACTCAGAGATTGTTCTTGGGTCAACATCATGCCTCACTTTCCCCTTTCCAATTACACCGTCTTCCATTTTCATGACTTCAAATACCAAAGCTATATCAATAGCTTCTGAATTCATATTGCTAAGCCATAATCCCCTATTACTTCCAGGCCAATATATTCAACTGACATCATCAACATATTCAATGTTCAATTGTTAATCTCTTCCATAAGTTTCCTTACCTCCAGTTTCCTGTATCTTGATAACCAGCACTATGACTGTTCAGGTCAGAAACCTGGGTGTCAATCTTATATTTAACTTTACCTTATTAACTCCCACCTCACATCCAATTATAGAATCTGCTTTTTCTTTATCAACCTCTACCCTCTAGCAAGGTTTTATCCATATTGTAGCCAGAATGATTTTTAAAAAAGAAAATCTGATCATGCCATTATACTGCTTAGAACCCTTTGACATCTTTAGAAGTGCTTAGAATAAAGTAAAAATAAGTAACATGACAAACAAGACCCCTGCTTAACACTAGAACCTTATCACTCTCTCCCACCCTCTCCTTATTATGCTTCAGCTATATTAGTGTTTATTGTGTCTCAAAATATGCCCATCTTTCCCAGTATTGGACATTCACATATGCTTTTCTTCTCTCTGAAAGAAATATCCTTATTTTACTCTCCTCCTAACCCCCACAAAACCCTATGTATCAACATAAATGCTGCTTCTTCAGAGACATTTTTGTAGTGAATATAAATCCCAGGCCAAAACAGTGTTGATTTTTGTTTTAGCAGGCAGCTAGACTTGGCTAAACATAAATTCTAAACTGTGCTCTCCCGCAGCAGGCCGCAGCTAAAATATATGTTCCCTTCTTCCACCTTAACTAGACTGTTTTGAGTCCGTCCCAGGCACGCTGGGTTCAGGGACTAGCCACAAATGTGGGCTCAGCCTCTGTTGCTCTCTCGTGGGATCCTCCCCTTTACCTTGCAGGTTCTGTGGGAGCCCAGATATATTTCCTCTGATTCGTCAAGCGAATAATAGAGATCAGGCCTTTAGCAAAGCTTTTTGGCCTTCACAGTGGTGACTGAAACTTCCTTCAAGAGAAAAGCTATAAACATGGGAAACTTGATGAGTGCTGTTCTCTTCTGCCAACGTGTTCACTACTCACCAGTTACTACTGCTCGCTTCTCATTTGCTTCCAGGTGTGTGTGTGTGTGTCTGTGTGTGTGTGTGTGCACGGGCTTGTGCACACAGGCATAAATTTATATTTTGTTCAGTGTTTATCACTGTTTTCTACAGGAGAGTTTTTCTGTTAGGATACTTCTCCACCATTACCAGAAGCACAATGTGTATTCAAACAAACAAAATATTGAGTACCAATTTTGTGTCAAATACTCTGCTAAGTGGTAGCAGTTGGTCTCTGATCTAATAAGATATGTGTTCTGTGGGAGAGAGACATTAAACAAATACCCAAATATTAGTTAAAATTATCAAAAAGGTTATGAAAGTGAATTTCAAAAGGACATGAGACTGTTTATTCCAGGGAAACCTTATCTCCTGAGCTGAATTAGAAGAATAAAGGATTAACTAATATTTGAGAGTTATTACAAGTTAACTGCCCAAGGAAGTCAGGGTCAGCTAGAGTGGAAAAAGCGTTCCATGTAGAGGGAGCATTGGATTAGAATTTTTTTTTTTTTTTGGACTAGATTTCTTAAAGCAAGAAGGAATCTTGAAAAGAATGTCAATGTGATTAGTTTAGAGAATGAGGCAAGAATAGCTAGTGATAGAGAGTTTGTTTCAGAAGAAATAGAAGGTTCTTGAAGCATTTTAAGTGGTGGAATCATTTTGCCAGTCTTTCAGTTGGACCATAAAAATAGCATTTGAATTCATCATTTCTAAATTTTTAATGCAAAAATTCATCATAATATAGAGTGTATTTTGTAAATTGTGTTTTCAGTTATCCTTATAGGGTAAGAATTTTCTTGTCTAATTAATTTTTATAAACGTTTTGTCAGGTGTATCGTATGCCAATGAATGTAGGCACTATAACCTTTTTCAACTATTTACCAAACTTTTATTTGATTTTTTTATTAGCCAATTCACATGAACCTACTATGAATATCATCATACAAAACCTTTTTTACATTTAGGAAGCTAAACTATTAAAAACATCTTATCATAGACCTTGAGAATTTAAAGATAAAATTGCTTATAAAATAACATTAATAGAGATTAAATTTAACATGGAGAAATTAACATTTTTAAATGAATTACTTTCAATGCAAGATCATTTACATAGCTGAATGTCAGATACCTTTGTGAATGACCAAGTGAATGAAAATATTGAATAAGAAGGTTTCCATTATAGATCATCCACATTCGTGTTTAAGGAGGAGTTTTTCAGGATGCCACAAGCTGCTTTTGAGCATTAACATGATTACATTTGTGATTTTATTCACACAAATTGCTTGAGGAAACTCCAAATGCCTTAATTACTTCACAGCTGCAATATTTTCAAACTTGTTTGAAAATTTTCCAGGGAAAGTGCACTTCATACCTGATTAAGAGAACTATCCCAAGTGAAAACCATGATTTTGCTTTCTTTGTATTAAATCTGTTCATGAATGAAAATCACAGCTGAAGATGATTGTGAAGAGAATATTAGAAACTTAAAAGAGACAGCAAGTGTTCTAACAATCAAGCAATTAATGAAAGTACCAACATCATGTTCCTATATTTTTCATTATATTAAATAAATTAACATTTTTTTCCCCATTCTGTAGCTCAGTATAATACTTTGTCCACTTTCCCACAAGACTTTCACCTTCATCTATGTAAACATAAAACTGGTTTACCAGAGCTTCTGGGCAAATATATGATGGATCCAATTCTTGGAGCCTCCTGTCTGTAGGTCTGTAGGTAATGCTGCAGTCATTTTGGATTAGTGATAAACGGTCATGAAATTAGAAACAGGTTCCTCCAGCTTTTTACAGAATCTGAAAAAAATAAAACACACACACACACACAAATATGTGCACCCAGAAAGTGTGAGTCCAACTCAAACATCATAAAATAATACACAGTGCATGCTTAATGGTATGCAGGACCATATGAACATATTAAAAGACATTGCCTGATGCCAAAGTCAAGTATGGTTTCAACATTGTAGAAATTTGGAGCAATCTTAGCTTAAACTTGAACTAATGACATAGGTTTATGTTTACCATTGTGATAACAGGAAAAATGTTTTACTTTTTCTTCATCTTTCTCCTTTAAAAGAGTTGATAAATTATGCTTTGCCAGTTTATTAGCTTTGGAGAAAAGGGTTATAAGACAATAACCACAACAATAATAATGTTGAACATTTAAACTGTGTCAGAAAGTTTCCAAATATTACCTCATTTAATTTACACAACCATCCTATAAGGTGGGTAAAATCACAATTATCACCATTTTGTAGTAGAGAAAATTAAGTTTCTAGGCTGTAACATTATTAATTCATGGTCACAGACAGAGCTAGTATATGGTGATAACAGATTTTAACAAAGCTTATTTGGGAATAAGGTGATATCGATTCAAAAGTCCCTGAACTGGACAACATCCCTGTATTGAGAATACTAGACTTTTCCTAATTAGACAATTCAGTTTCTTCTATAGAAATTATATCCCACTTCTACTTTGGAATGGCAAGGATGGGCTTCTTTCAAATCTCCTGGGCTCTTCCTAAGATGTGAGGCCCTATTTCATTTTGTCTCTTGTTCTTTTTTTTTTTTTTCCCCACAGACAACACTGTTACTTCTTACAGCTCTAGGATGTCCAATCCATAGAAGCACTATCAGTCTCAGAAGATTTATAAACAGGGTCATGACAGTCTTCACTTTGTGGTGAGGCACCCATGATCTCTTTATTCAGGTATCTCAGAAACTGACACATTGGAAGACCAACAAATTATTACATAGACTCTGTAACTCCTAATATCCAATTTAAAGAGATCCCCTTCTGTGTTATTCTACTTAGTCATTCAAGCAGAAAATAGATCCAGCCAGGGACTTCCCTGAATATCAAGATATTCACCTTTTCTTTAAAAAAATGAGGGGGGGGCACCTGGGTGGCTCAGTGGGTTAAGCTTCTGTCTTCGGCTTAGGTCATGATCCCAGGGTCCTGGAATCGAGCCCTGCATCGGGCTCTCTGCTCGGTAGGGAGCCTGCTTCTCTCTCTCTGCCTGCCTCTCTGCCTACTTGTGATCTCTCTTTTTAAAAAAAGATACTCACCTTTAACATTATGTCTTTCTATTTCTTATTATTGGGGAATTTGGCAAGTAAGACATAGACATCTAGGGTTTTTTGTTTTGCTTTTGCTTTTGTTTGTTTATTTGTTTTTTTGAGGTAAAGTATGTGAACTTAAAACTCCAAAGCATTAAGCACATATTCAAATTTGGGAGCTAACTCTTCCCTTCACTCTGACTTGACCAGTATATGAAAGTCTTTATCCTCGTGATCATCTCTTATGAAATCCTAGGCAAAGATTTCTATATATTCATAACAGTGATAGAAAATATGTGAATGATTTGATACCTAAATGGTAATTATCACAAAGCTGAAGTAAGCATTTATTAATATATGGTTTCAAGGGTAAAAAGAAACCCCTGAACTTCTTATATTCATCTCTCACCTGCTCACAGAGACCATAAATTATTAAAGTTAATTATAGAGTCATTCCTTTGATTTAAAGCTCCTAGTCTGGGGTTAAAATTCAAATGCACCTGGGAATGACAACACACCAAGGCTTATAAATCACAGTGTGATGAGATAACCAGATCTTTTCAGGAAAATGTGTTTTGATAGGGCTGAATGCTAAACAGAGATGGGAGTGTGAGCACAAGGAAAGAAAGGGGGAGGGATATGCACAGAAACCTTGGAAAAGCCTTCACAAATTCATGACAATCTCTTTACATGCTTACTCTGATCGATAAGGTCATTGTTCATAGTGACAGAGACAGGGAGGTGAGTCTAATCAGAACACTAGTCATTCACTGCTGCCAGTCTGGAAAACTGGCATATAGTGTGGCAAGTTAGCATCATGTACAACAAGCAACACTGAAAATAGGAAATGGTGAAAGAGATTCTCATAAGGATACAAACCCCCAAAATAATCAACTGATTTGAGGAGGAGGGAAGGAATCTGAGAAATCATTTATTCTATATATCTCATCAAAAATTGTTAAGAGGCACACACTTTGTGTGGCTATAAATCCATGACCGGAATGCAAGTTAACAATTCTTCATAAGCAAGGCCCTCATGCTCTCTGTTTTTGGGATTTGTTCAGGCAACGACAGATCTAGGTTAGCATACTAATCACCACCCCAGATGAAATGACCTAATACCAATAAATAGCTTTTTTCATCGTAATAGGCCTTGACCTTGAATCTGAAATGGATCACATTCCAAATAGTTTAGAGAGTTAATAATATTTGGCGATGATGATGATGATGATTAAAACAAACAAAAATTATGTCTATCATTTCAGCCTAAGTGTTTTTCTGGCATTTTCCAAAGTATAAAAAAGTGAGTCTCTGAAGCCTCTTTATGCAGAAACCATTCTGGTACATATGAATTGTCCAAATACAGTCAGTTTATGCTTACTGAAGGAATCGTAAATTTGAATTTCCTCACTTAAGGTTTCATAAAATCTCAATACCACACTCATGTAAGAATCTTAACATTTAAAATGTTGTTGTGCAACAGAAAGAAATAAAACCAAAGACAGACATGATTGATTGCATATTGTGGAACTAAATTGAATCATTGACTTGGGAGAAAACTTGAGGAAAGGTAAACAAATTAATCAGTTTGATTCTCATTTTTATGCTTAGGCATGGTATAGCAGTACTTGCTGAAAGAGGAAATGGTGAAAACATGGACTGGCCTCAGGAATATTGGAGTGAAATACAAAGAAAGCTAACTCCTAGTTTATTGTTACCAGTAGCAGAGGAGTTTTATTTACATTATCTCATGCAGCATAACAAAAGTCTAGCTTGATAAAACTCCAAGCTCCTGTACTAATAAATTATATAAACAATTCCAACTTCCAGACTGCCCGTGCCTGTCTTTGTCCTTTTGAGGCAGACTTTTGGGGAAAGTGAGTTTTAGGGAAACAGAGTCTCAGAGAAATTGGGACAAATCGTCAAAAGAGAGGCTTTATCTAAGCAACATAATGCCCTGTTCAGTGGAAAAGCTAATGGGGCCCTGAGGCAATCTCTTCCACAGGGTTCAGTAAAAATGATCTATTTGAGTCAATGGATTGATAAGCTCTTTCTATCATTTTTGTTTCATTTCCCTTCAAGATCTCTAAAACACAATTTATTTAAGGTATTAAGAATTGAATTTTATTTCTTTGTGTGAAATATGCTTAAGCTAACATTTTGACTATAAAAATATGAATAAAAGTGCTGCTTTACAAATATTTCAGTGCTTTACAAATTGCTATTGTGGAAAAGCGATTCAAGGAATATTGAAAAAATAGAACTATGCATAATTTTAAAGTTAAATATGTGTGCTAGATTCTGTGTATGATTAATTAAATTACTGAAGTTCATTTTAAGCATTGTAGTTTACTAATTTCTTTCCCAGGTAGTATTGAATCTGGGGCCTTCAGTAAACATGGAGGGTAGGCAAATTTTTAATCTAAAAGAGATAATAGTGACAACATTTCAGGATAGCATTGAAAGTATAGATTGCTCTAGGCAGACATTTAACAATGTTTATTCTTCCGATCCATGATCATGGAATGCTCTTCCATCTTTTTGTGTCTTCAATTTCTTTCATGAGTGTTCTGTAGTTCCTCGAGTACAGATCCTTTACCTCTTTGATTAGGTTTATTCCCAGGTATCTTATGGTTCTTGGTGCTATAATAAATGGAATCAATTCCCTAATTTCCCTTCCTATATTTTCATTGTTAGTGTATAAGAAAGCAACTGATTTCTGTACATTGATTTTGTGTCCTGCCACATTACTGAATTTCTGCATGAGTTCTAGCAGTTTGGGGGTGGAGTCTTTTAGGTTTTCCATATAAAGTATCATGTCATCTGCAAAGAGAGAGAGTTTGACATCTTCTTTACCAATTTGAATACCTTTTATTTGTTTTTGTTGTCTGATTGCTGTTGCTAGGACTTCTAGTACTATGTTGAAAAACAGTGGCAAGAATGGACATCCTCGTTGTGTTCCTGATCTCAAAGGGATGGCTGTCAGGTTTTCCCCATTGAGAATGATATTCACTATGTGTTTTTCATAGATAGACTTTATGAAGTTGAGGAATGTTCCCTTTATCCCTATACTTCAAAGTGTTTTAATCAGGAACGGATGCTGGATTTGGTCAAATGCTTTTTCTGCATCAATTGAGAGGACCATGTGGTTCTTCTCTCTTTTCTTATTGATTTATTCTATCACATTGATTGATTTGCAAATGTTGAACCATCCTTGCATCCCATGGATAAATCCCTCCTGGTCATGGTGGATAATCTTTTTAATGTACTGCTGGATCCTATTAGCTAGGATCTTGTTGAGAATCTTGGCATCCATATTCATCAGTGATACTGGTCTGAAATTCTCCTTTTTCATGGGTTCTTTGCCTGGTTTAGGGATCAGGGTAATGCTGAAATCAGGGTAATTTCAGAGTCTGAAAGTTTTCCTTCTGTTTATATTTTTTGAAACAGCTTCAGGAGAAAAGGTATTATTTTTTCTTTGAATGTTTGGTAGAATTCCCCAGGGAATCCTTCAGGTCCTGGGCTCTGGTTTTTTGGGAGATTTTTGATCACTGCTTCAATCTTGTTACTAGATATTGGTCTATTCAGGATGTCAGTTTCTTCCTGATTCAGTTTTGGAAGTTAATAGGTTTCTAGGAATGCATCCATTTTATCTAGGTTGCTTAACTTATTGGCGTATAGCTGTTGATAATAATTTCTGATGATTGTTTCTATTTCCTTGGTGTTAGTCGTGATCTCTCCCTTTTCATTAATAATTTTATTAATTTGGGTCCTCTCTCTTTTCTTTTTGATTAGTTTGGCCAGTGGTTTACTTTGGTCAAAAACCTATGAGATATGGCAAAAGCAGTCCTAAGGGAGAAATATATAGCCATCCAAGCCTCCCTCAAGGAGGGAGGCCAGGACTCGGAGGCCGCCATCAACCGCCAGATAAACCTGGAGCTCTACGCCTCTTACGTCTATCTGTCCATGTCTTACTACTTTGACCGCGATGATGTGGCTTTGAAGAACTTCGCCAAATACTTTCTCCACCAATCTCATGAGGAGAGGGAACATGCTGAGAAATTGATGAAGCTGCAGAACCAACGAGGTGGCTGAATCTTCCTTCAGGATATCAAGAAACCAGACCGTGATGATTGGGAGAACGGGCTGAATGCAATGGAGTGTGCATTACACTTGGAAAAGAGTGTGAATCAGTCACTACTGGAACTGCACAAACTGGCCACTGATAAAAATGACCCCCATTTGTGTGACTTCATTGAGACTCATTACCTGAATGAGCAGGTGAAATCCATCAAAGAATTGGGTGACCATGTAACCAACCTGCACAAGATGGGGGCCCCCGAATCTGGCATGGCAGAGTATCTCTTTGACAAGCACACCTTGGGAAACAGTGATAATGAGAGCTAAGCCTTAGGCTGTCTTCCCAGAGCCTAAAAATCCAGAATACAGAAAAATCCAGAATACACCAGCTCTCTTTATTCATTAAAGAACTGGAGAATCAACAACAAACTAAGCCACCCCCAAACACAAGAAGGGAAATGATCAAGATTAGAGCAGAGATCAATGAGATAGAAACTAGAGATACAGTAGAACACATCAACGAAACTAGAAGCTGGTTTTTTGAAAGAATCAATAGTGCCAACATTTCAAAATGCAGCAATAGTAAAGGAAGTTCAGGAATGCTGAGGGAAATTCATAAATCAAAGTATGAGGACCTGAACGTAGGTGATATAATTTTAAATATTAAAAAATGACTTTAAACACAGTCTTGTGTGGATAAAATATATAACGAAGAACATTTTTATATTTAAGATAATATTTAGTGTCAATTCATCTAAAGGTATAAGCATGTTTTTTTGGAAGATCTAATTGGCTTCATTAAATGATTCATGAATTGGGCAGCATCCCTTCTAGCAAGTAGAGTGAAGCTACTGGTATAAACATTTTTTAAGTATAAAGTTATAAGAGATATGTTCTTTAATAATACAAAGATACATACATATGGATATATTACATACACATATGTGCATTTATATATCATATGCACATATATGTGTATCTGTCTATATATCTATATAACATGATAGATATAGATAATCTATAAGTATAAAAGCTGTTGACCTTAAGAAAGGATTATGAACTATGGTAAGCAGGATTCTTCATGGTTTAGAGTCACTAAATACTATTCAGGATATTGTCATTTCAGCTAATTAAATGGACAAAGCTGTCAGAATTTTATTCATTTTTCTCAGATACTTTAATTTCAAGATGCAAAAATCTTACAGCAATCCTTTAAAATAAAGCATTTGCTAGCTATAGAAAAGAAAACTCCTTTTTGTAAATAAATTAATCTATCTATCACTGTCAACTGAAAAGAACTGGAGTAGTTGCTCAGAACACAGGTTAAACATCAGACAACCCCAAGCTGAAAGAATGAAGTATCATAGAAGTCCTGATGAAATTAAGGATGGACAGAAAGTTTTCTATAATCTGTTGTCATGAGCAATTACCATCATTGTGAGGTACATGCGCGTGCACGTGTGCATGTGTGTGTGGGTGAAGGAAAATGAGAGATTTAGGGCTTCCAGTCTTTATGTTAATATTTTTTAGGAATATAGCAAGATATTGGGATTATGCTCTCATCAATTACAGTTTTCCGAAAGCATCTTTAAGATCCCTTCACCTTGGCATGTGGACAAATATATCTAAAACGAAAACTGGCTTGTTAGAAGTGCAGAGCCACTTTTCTCTAAAGAACTCATGACACTGTCTTCAGATTTTGCATGTAAAAGAAATCAAAGAAGGAAGCACATGGGACATACTGCTAGATGCACTAATATTTGCTTAACCTTAAAATTGACTTTGGAAAGAACAACTTCCCAGGGAATATGGAACCCTTGAAATAAATGAGGCAACATGTTCAGGAAGAAGCTGTGTGACAGGCTTTCCATAGCTTTGACCTTAAAGGTAAACACAAGGCCAAAGAGCCCCCTGGTGTTCTTGGAACCAAACCTACTCAAATGAACAAATTTGCTAGATTCACATTTAGAGAGGGCAGTGGATATTAAATAGAGACACTGAAGAGTAAATGAAGGAGAAATGCGACTTGAACTTTGTTACATGAGTATGTTTCTAAGAAAGAATGTTCTTCCCAATAGTAAAAATTTCATCCATCTGTGGGAATAAGAACCATAAAGCAAAGAGCTTATGCATGAAGGAGCTTCAATTTATATTTCTACTCATCTCCTAGGTCTGCTTGGGTTTCTAAGACTTGGCAGAAGGTATGGTGTCATCTTGGTGGGCTGAAGTGGAGATTTACGGTCTATCTTAGCCAGCTTTCAAGTTATATTTGTACAGTCTGGGTTCTTAAGAAAGCTACTTCTTAGCCCTGGCAAATTCAAGGCTACAGTAAGGCATTTGGTACACTAGTTAACAACAAGAAAGTGGATTATAATCATGGAGATGGGGTTCTTTCTACACAAATGCTTTTTTCTGTTTTTCTGAACACTTCAGTAGATTGAACATTTGACTTTGTTTTGAATTATGTAATCCCTCAGGAGATTTAGCTGGTGGAATTTTAACCCTTTCTACCGAAACAAACTCTCAGCTCACCTCTGATTTTCCCTAAAGGAAAAAAAAAAAAAAAATAGAGGTTTCTAAGCTTATTTCCGAAAGGTTAGTTGTGGGTCACTGACAATGGCAGAATGACATGGTGCCAGTAAATGACATGACATGAGTGATTATGAAAGAGCTAAAAGAGAAAACTAAGTGATGGTCTGATCTGTATGTATCAAAAAATATCATCTGTTTCTAATAATTGCTATATATATTTTTCTAACTCAAATTTTATTTCAAAGAGAAAGACACTGGAGCATGTTTGTATCACCACATTTTCAGGGCCCACACTAAGAATGTATAGCAGTCCCCCCTTATCTGTGGGGGATACATTCCAAGACCCCCGTGGTTGCCTGAAACTGCATATAGTACCAAACACTATATGGCCATAGCTCAGTTTAGTGTACTTCACTTTATTGCACTTTGCAGACATTGCATTTTTTACAGATTTAGGGTTTATGGCAACCCTGAGTTGAACAAGACTATTGCACCATTTCTCCAACACCATTGGCTCAGTTCATGTTTCTGTGTCACATTTTGGTTATCTTCACAATATTTCCAACTTTTTTATTATTGTTATGTTTGTTGTGACAATCTCTTATTAGTGGTTAAGACTGGCTGAAAGCTCAGATAATCAATAGCATTTTTTAGCTATTTTAAAATTTTTAATTAAAAATGTACATTGCTTTATAGATATGCTGTTGTATACTTAATGGACTGCAGTGCAGTGTAAACATAACTTTTATATGCCCTGAGATACCAACAAACTCAATTGACTCGCTTTGTGGTGATACTTAATTTATTGTGGTGGTCTGGAACCAAACCAAAGTATCTCCAAGGTATGTCTGTATATACCACATTTTTTCTATACATATATATATACACACACTAGAGTTTAATTTATAAATTAGGCACAGTAAGAGATTGACAACAACAATAATAAAACAATTACAACTACATACTTTAATAAAAGTTATGTGAATATGGTATCTCTCTTTCTCAGACTATTTTACTATATTGTAATCACCCTTCTTGTAATGATGTGAGATGATAATGTGTGATGAGATGAAGTGAGGTGAATGCCATAGGCATTGTGACATGGCATTAGGCTACCTTGACCTCCTGACGATATGTCAGAAGGAAGATTATCTGCTTCAACACTATTTGACCATGGGTAACTGAAATCGTGGACAGAGAAACCTCAAAAAAGTGTGACTGGACAGGGAAGCCTCGAATAAGGGTGACTGGACAGGGAAACCTTGAATATAAGGGTATTGACTGTATTCATTAATGAAAACTGTGAAGATTTACATTGTTTCAGAAATTGCATGGACATTTCTAGTTCAATCTGGCACTGATGAAGTAATTATTTGTAGTGTTAGAAATACCAATATTACAACAAAGTTTGCAAAACTCTCAGTATAGGAATGTCTTTTTAATGCTTCCCAGTCAATGTTATTTAAGTTGCAGAAGCAGAAACTCCATGTTCTTATCCTAAGTCATCATGATTCATGATTGAATTATTATATATAGGAAATACCTTACCTAAAGAGGGTTTTGCAAAGCCAAGTAAATCAAGTACTGCAATGAAGTCTTTTTGCTGTTAGTGTTTATAACTGAATTTAATGGAGTGAAAGGTTAAGAACTCAGCAACTCTGTGATAGTCTTAGCTTTACAAGAGGAATATTGCTTAGTTCAGGTGTTAACTGAGGTCAGCAAACAGCCCAGATTATTCATCTGCTGTCTGTCTCTGGGTTGCCTTTCACTGATGCTGTGTTCAATGGAATCCCAGTTGCTTCTTCTGAGGATCCTGACATGTATCACTATTAGAAAATGTTAGCTCACTGTACAGAGTTTTGTCTGTTCTTGTCTTTATTAATATAAGATCACTAAACTGTAATTTTTGTGTGGTTTAAGAAAGTTGGTGTATAATTTACTGTATATTAGTTTCCTTTATTATACTTTAATATATTATAGGTAATCTAGTGTTCCTTACCTACATTTCAGTTTACTATCTACATCTAGAAGTAGACTAGACTCTAGATTATGTGTAATGAGAAATCTTATATCTTTTCCCATGATTGAATTTGTATTACCTGTTTTAGTGTGTAGCAAATGTGAACACTCAAAAAATATTTCTTGAATGAAAGAATAACCAAAATCCACGAGTTCCACAAATTTGTATTTTTATTCTGATGTCAATTTAATAAATATCATGTTAGATATAAGTATGATACCTTTCTTTCGCTGTCACTTTCCTGTGTCTTTCTAGTTAAAGATATCAGAGTCAGATTTCTGTATTTCAATCATGAACTCAATGAGCTTAACTCTGAGATAAATTATTTATTTACTTTTCATCTCAAATTATGATAATATTAAAACATATTAAGGCTATTGTGAAGATTAAATTAGTTCATATATATAAACCCTTTAACACAGTAGCACTAAATAAATGGAAAATATGAGCTCTTACTATTGCAACTACTAGTGCAACTTACTAGTGCAATCATTATTATATTAGTATCAGAATTTATGTGATGATTAATCTTATTTTCATGGAAAAAACTTTTGCTTCTTATATCAATCTTTTCCAAAGTGGTTTCTGAGAATTCCATATTATTAGGAGTCTGCCAAAATGATCTTCCTTTAATAAATAAATTCCTTTAATAAATATTCCTTTAATAAATATAAAAATAAAAACTTTTATAAAAGATACAGCAGTTTTTACAATGAGTTATTTTTAGGAGTTTATCCCAATTTCCTATTTAGACAAAGCTACCTACTATAGCAAGAGGAAAGTCCTTTTGGTTAG